CAGACAACCACATTAGGCCCAGCTTTGTATTTGCCTGGTTGCCCCAGGCAGCAAGAAATCCCACCCAGGCTGGCAGGGGAGGGAAGGATCACCGGCTGCGCTCTCCACCGGCTGCGCTCTCTGCCAGGCCCCTCTGGATGGGGGAGCGCGTGGTCCAGCTGAGGGCAGATGAAGGACCTCCTTCCCCACTCCAGTAACCTCCTGGTTACCAGCCTGTGGTTCTGTGCTAGTCCCGGAGAAGCAGAACCTTCTTTTCTCCAGCCAGGACAGAAATGAATGTTCCCTGCCCTGTTGCAGAAGAGAAATCAGATGAGCTCTTTGTTACTAAGACTGCATTTTTTCAGTTTACTCCACTTTGCTAAGTACCTGACAATACTGCAAATTAAAAGGGGGTGAGGCCATATAAACATGTTTAAAAAGTGGGTGAGAGATTAAACTTAGGCACTAATTTTGTTACATTTTATAAATTCAAATTATGTAACTCTTAATTCACACACTGTTAGCAATCTTCATCCTGTCACATCTGAGTTAATCCCCAGGTTTAACATAAGGAGAACGTGCACAAAGTTCAGCTATCCTCACCTACACACTGGAGCATCTCCCTTGCGCTTACAAAGCTCCTGGGGGATGGAAGGGGGGCTGTTGCCGCGGGTCAAAAAGGCGCCTCCCGGCTGCAGGAGCTCCACTGTGAATCGCAACCAAGACGAGGAAAAGAGCCCCGTGTCTCACGATGCAAACCTCAGCCTTTCCTACCCGAAGCCTGAGGCCGAACGTGAGGACGTGAGGGTAGGGGGTCACGATGCACATCTGGCCACCTCTCCCTGCCACAGACACCTGTGCTGTGAGCCATGGCTCACTGCAGGGGTGAAACCAAAAACCGCACCATAACTTTGTTCTGTAAACCTGCCATCGCAAAAGGATTTAATGCAGTGTGTTTGGCTTTGGATTAGCCAATGGGGTATGCAAACCATAGTTTATGGTTTAGTATGTTGTGTGTAAAAGCTATTGTGGCTTATTCAAATCACCAAGGTTAAAAAAAAACATGGCTTAGTGTAATGTGTGAACGCAGCTCCTTAGGGATGGGGAAGTCTGTCGGCCAGAGCTATTCCCCTTGTTCAAGCTCCGGGTCCCTTCTGCATGGGGGGGGGCATTGCTCCCCAGGCCTGTTGGGGGCTTCCTAGGCACCTGACGGGACCAAGTGAGCTCCCTTTGCCCTGGCCTGAGTGTGGTCACAGCACAGTGGAACTCAAAAAAAGTTTCCTAGGAAGCCAAAAGGTGCTTTTGGGCATTGGTTCTCCGAGACCCCTCCTCTCCTGCTGGCGGGTTACCCTGGACATGTGACGTGGCTGGGCAGCGCTCTCAGTTCTTCTACTGAGGCGGAAATCACGCTGGAGCAGAATCTCCCCAGAGTTTTGAGCAGAAGCCTTTCCCCAGCAAACCTTCCCAGGATATCCTATATGTCAAGCACCTGCTCCACCAATGGCTGGATTCATACAACACGCTAAAGCTGGATTTGAAAACAGTCACAAATGACCAAGGGGCATTAACCACTGGACTCCTGAGACAGTGTGCAAAGATATCTATCACGCTATTCCCTTTCAGGGAAAGCAACTTTATCTAGTGCATTAAAAAGGAACAAGAAACAGTAAGCCAAAGAAATTAAAGTCAAGAAAGTCCACCCAAGACTAATTTACATTCACTATTCTTTTCTACATCCTTCTGCACTTGCAAATGATCCTTCCTTCTACCATGTCCTCCACTGCTTCCCCATCCCAATCCCACAGCATTTATGTTTCTTGAAATGTACTCAATTCTTACATGCAGATAATATAGGGCAGAAAAACAGTCATTCTTGCTTCTCTCAACTACCTTTCATTCCATGCCACGGACTACATACTATCCACTACTGTCCTAGTATTTGCATATTTTAAAATTTCTCTACCCATTTTCCCATCGCCACCTTCTACCAAGGTACACAAATTCATCTCTAGTTTTTCTCCATTTCTGGTGAATGTTCCATTTGATTTTCCCTGTCAAGCACAAATCCCTAAGGAAGAAACATTAATTTTCAGATCCACATTCTGCTTTCTATCACATTTCACAACCAGCCAACTCAACAAGTTGCACCACTACTCCACCAGCGAGCCACACACAAAGTTTAACCTCTCTCCAGGTGCACCATCTACATCTGCAGCTCTGCAATTTTTCAATATTCTCCACCCCTTATGGCATCCTTTTCCTCAATTCCTCTGAGACTTTCAATTCATTGCTTTCAATCCCTTTCCTTAAGATGCATCACTGTTATTCCCCACCGCCTTTAAGCTACTACTGCCAGCGCTTGACCCGTCATACTCCCTGAAGGAGGCTCCTTGTTTAGCCCGTTCCATCCACTTCCAAAGCAAAAAAGGGAAGCGAAGCAACTCCCAGCAAGGCGCCTCCAGATCAGCGGCCTTGCGCGGAAAAGTGGGCCGGGCAACCCCGCCCCACCGCTTGGACCGGCGCGGAGCCCGCTGCCCGCCCGCTCTTTCCCCAGGGCCACAGC